ATTATGTCGTGTTTTAATGCAGGTAGAATTGGTTTAAGTAGATTAGATGATTTCTTTAGAAGAGGAATGAGAAATAAGATTTGAGCAGGTAAGTTTTTAACCTCTGAGTTATTAAATATAAAGTTACAAACTTGGCCTTTATTCTGTGAACAAAGACAGTTCATTGACAACATTTTGAAAACAGAAGTTGACAATGAAAGTTTTGTTATAATTTAAAAAATGGTATTTCCCGTGACCCTTTAACTAGAGATGGCTTTATCAATTTGTATAGGACTCCAGAGCAGTAAATGCTGTAACATGATTATACCTCAATCATAAGTTATAGGAAGCAATCCTAAAATGGGACAAAAATATCCTAGATCCTAGTTTATTCATCACTGATAAAAAAACAGCAACAACAGAGATCAAAAGAGAAGAGAAAAATTGGGTAAACTTTATTTGTGCAGTGCGCTGCAGAATAGTGTACTCACCAAAAATGTATTAAGTTACATACCGATTTCATGGTAGCATGATAGAGCCTCTTCCATGGAGAAGTCACATACTAATGTCAAGGCAAAACATATACACAAATAAGTAGAGTGCCAGAGAAACCAAGTCAAATTCCACAAATCAATTAAAATAAGCACCACAGGGTTCCCAAAAGGAAAGAAAATTTTTCAAGAAAAAATCAGGAGATCCTTCTTGAAGAAGTAGCTTCATGAAGGATAGGGAGTGTGTCTCTATTAGTCCATTCTCATGCTACTGATAAATATATACTGGAGCCTGGGTAATTTATAAAGGAAAGAGGTTTAATTGACTAACAGTTCTGCATGGCTGGGGAGTCCTCAGGAAACTTATAGTCATAGCGGAAGGGGAAGCAAACATGTCCATCTTCACATGGCGGCAGCAAGAAGTTCCAAATGAAAAAAGGAAAAGCCTCTTATAAAACTGGGAGAGATAGCATGGGGAGAAATGCCAGATATAGGTGATGGGGAGGAAGGCAGCAAATCACACTGCCATGTGTGTACCTATGCAACAATCTTGCATGTTCTTCACATGTACCCCAAAACATAAAATGCAATTAAAAAAAGAAAAAAATTTAATATTACATACTTATTACAAAGGAAGAAAGAATACATTGGAAATGCCTGGAAGACATCACTAGGTAATCAAAGTGAATATGGTTAGTAATGGGACCAATTGTGTGCCTTCTGATTGGAAGCAATGAGAACATAGCATCACTTGTAAAGATGTTCCTGCCAAAGGTGCCAAAACGTGACTCTCATCATGAGGAAGCGTCAGAAAAATTCAAAATGAGAGACATTTTGCACAATAACTGGCCTATACTTTTTTAAAGTGTCAGAGTCATAAAATAAATGAAAGGGGATTTTTTTTTGTCCTATATGAAAGAAAACAAGAGAGATATGACAAATAAATGGAACTGGATCCTTAAAAACAAACAAACAAAAAACCTTCAGATCTCATGAGAACTCACTCACTATCATGAGAATAGCATGAGGTAACTGTCTCCATGTCCAAATTACCTTCCTCCCTGCTGAGTCCCTCCCATGACAAGTGGGGATTATGGGAACTATAACTCAAGGTAAGACTTGGGTGGGATATAGCAAAACCTCACTGTCTATATTATAAAGTGAAACAGTAAACATTTCAGGATTAGAAAATAGAATTTACAAAGACTTGGAATTTAAAAAGGATCATTTGTATCATTGAAGCATGGGGTATATGTAAGTCATGTGTGGATGATAAGTTTAAGAAGTAAGCAGTAATTCAGTGATGTATTATTTAAAAGAAAGAAAGCTTTAACCTAATTCCTACTACTACCCAAGCCTGTATATTTAGACCTTTTTAAGACCCTCTCCCATGTTACGTAAGTATTTTAATAACTTTTGATCAGGAAGTAGGAAGATACACTTTAACAATATTTCTGAAATGTGTTCTAAAATAACCAATACCTGTTATTTTCCCCAAATAGTCATGGTACCTCATTCTTCACTCTTTATTTTTTCTTATCATTCATTGAATGTGAAAGTTAGAGAATCTAACATGGAAATAAAGATACCAAGATAGCCAGAGAAGACAAGGTGTCCAGTGTAATGCTAAAAGCCTAAGAAATATAATAAAATTACAAAATACAGATCAAAACTCACATATACATTTGTAAGCAGGAAATAATTGTTGAGCTTTTCATGTGGTACTTAGCAGTATTACAACTATAATTATATGGTTAAGTCAGATTATTTTCCCCTTGGTTAATAGGAAATCCCTCTATTAATCAATAAAAGAGATGGTTTTACAAATTCATTATGTGATCAGCTTTGCTTTATTTAGTTCCACTGAAAAGTTAATAAAAAGGAAAATGAGTCCTATCACCCCAAATTAGAGAAACAGTGAATCTGCATGAAATTATGTGAAAACAGCAATCACTTAAACTCAGTAATTTGTTTTTAAGAAATTCTCTTATGTATGCACATTATTTTTGACACTGAAAATATAGAAAACTAATTGGAGAATCAGGAAATAATAAAATTGGAAAAAGCAAGAGGCTACACACATACACACACATACACACCCATACACAGACGTACCGTACATATTTATGCATTTACGTATAATTATATACAATAATTATATTTGCTACCAGTGATACACTGTGATATATTTTTGCATTTGTTTTCTTTATCATACAATTATGTACTGTTATTCAAGAACATTAACTGTCATTAATCTCAGTTCTTATCTCCAGGTTATAAATGGGATAGTAACAGAGGCACTTAGAGTGAGAGAAGGGCCTGAGATTTAAACGCAGCCCAACCTGGCTCTGTTATTTTGACCCTTGAAGCTTCTGTTTTCTCTTCTTCAATATAAATTTGGTATTCTCTTCTCTCCTTTTTTCTCCCTCTATATTCCCAATACTTTCTATTCCTAATCTCTCTCTTTTTCTCTCTCTCTGTGTACATATATGTAAACATACGTATTTAAATTTTAGTCTCAACGCAGTCTATTAATTTCAAGTTATACTAATGGATGTGACCTAAATTTTGAAAAACTCTAATGTAGACATAATGATTTCAGAAACAGTAAGGATGGAGTGATTCGGGTAGTTTTTACGGCACCAGGAAAGAACTTCAAGGGGGAGGAGGGTTAGAAACATGTGTTTTTATTTAATGGTTCAAATTGCTTATCACCATTATCTCTGAGACTCTGGAAATATTATTGCATTATCTTTCCACCAGGATTTTCAAGCTGCAAAAAAGACAATTATAGCAAATCAGTTTAGTACGTAGGCAGGGAATCAGACTGTCTGGCTTCACAATTTACAAGATGTGTAATTTGGGGAAAGTTATTTAAACACCTTGTACTTCAATCCCTCCATTTGTAAAGTGGGGATAATAGAATCTGCTTCAGCTAGTGGGAGTGAGAATAATAACTGTAAAGGGCTTAGACTAATAAATTGTGCATTGTCAGCTCTCAGTAAATGTTGAATATTGGCTAGTAAATGAACGCTTGACCAAAGTCTTTGGAAAAACAGACAACAGAATAGAACTGTTTCATATATTTAACTAATATATCTGCTCAGAGACATTTATTTAATATTTTGATGTTTTTTGATTTACTGTTGGTGAATTTGGCTAAGGAATCAAAAAAGTCATATTAACATCATTAATAATAAATAAATAATTTTAGCCCTGTAGACAAAGAGTACATGTTCTGTTTACAATGGCTCTCAGACACATATTTTGTGTGGGTTTTAGGCCATGAATATTAATGTTTCCCAGCCACATCATCTAAATCAACTTGATTTAGGATTAAAGAATTTATAAGTTGTTTAGTGGTAGAGGTCCAAATATTTAGTTACTAATCAGGAAAATAAGAGAGAAAGAGAGATCATTCAGTAGGAAAAATCAGGACTTGAATCCTGGGAGTTTTTGTCAGCTTTCCTATTTTTCTAGAAGGCAATGGCCGTCAAAGATTGTTAAGTTAACTTTGGTGTTGGGAAAGTTTTGCTGATGGATGTTAGAGCAAAATACAGCAGTGACTTAATCAAAAAATTAGCACTCGTCACTCATTAAGCATGACAAAAATGACAAAAACAGTCTACCTTTGATAATGGCTACTAAAAATATGAATCCATTTTCTAGGTGAAACAAGATCATGGCTTCTACTTCACTGTGAATTTAATCTGGCTTCTCAGTCAATAAGAATATTGAAACCTGACAACACTCTAAGTTTCCCCATGGAAAAGGATAAACATTACTTTTTAAATTTTCTTTCTCCTAGGCAAGATTTTGAGGGACTAAGCCTGAAAGATTCATTAGCAAAGATGTGCTATATTTGTAATTTTCATTCAATTGCAAATTTCCATCATAGAGTAACGAGTGTTATGATAATTAAGAAATGGAATTAAATTAGTATATCACATACCATGCTGAGAAAATAATAATACAGTACAGTAATACACTACAATAGATAATTGCTAAGACAATAAGAATGTGGCCACAATAAAAATGACACATGCATATTGTAGTTCCCTATCACTATAACCAGTTTCAAGAGAAAATCAGTCCATCACATTAACTCAATCCTAATGAAACTCTAGAATTAAAGGGCATCTGAGCTTTCTTATCTTACACTCTGGGTTGTCTCAGCTCCACCAGCTTCCCTTTCTTTGCTTCATTAGAACAGCTTCCAAAGACTTATGTACCTTTCTATGTGTAGGTCAACTGGATCCAAACACTTGGGTATTCAGAATGTTTAATATGTATTTATTTTTTTAAGCGTTTCTTTTTTTCTTTCCTTGTGGCAGAACACCATTAATTGCAACTGTTTAACTGCATTTGGGGGAACAAAAGATTTGTTTTGTAATAGTTCCTGTATAATAAGCTAAGGGTTTAAGGAATGATTTGAATTACAACTATTTTCTATCCCAGAGAAGTGTTTTAAACTCAGTTGCATGCAAGTTCACACCCCCACCCACTCACTTTTTTTTTCTGTCTTTGCAGTTCCGCCATGGTTTTTAAATCATCCTTCCAACCTCTATGCCTATGAAAGCATGGATATTGAGTTTGAATGTACAGTCTCTGGAAAGCCTGTGCCCACTGTGAATTGGATGAAGAATGGAGATGTGGTCATTCCTAGTGATTATTTTCAGATAGTGGTAATTATTTTTTTTTCATATTTGTTTTCCAATCCCATTCATTGTTTCCTATTTCTTTCACATGTTTTTCTTCCTGAACAAAAAGAAAAAGGCTCTTGTGGGAGATTTTTTTGTGGTGTGTTAAGAAAATTATTCAAATAAAGTAAATGATTTTCAAGACCTAAGAATTTTTGAGCTGAAAAACAGTGATCAAAGAATTCAGCCCTCAGGTTTTACAGATAAGACTTTAAGACATACAAACAGACAAAGATAAATGAAATACAGAGAGCCTAAGACTTTCTGAGCAGTTTCACACTTTCACTGCTGGTTTATTGAAAAGAGTTTAGAACCTAATTCTAGACTTAAGCCAAGAATCTCTTACTTCTTTGACCTTTACCCATTTTAATACAGTTTCATAAGATGTTCTACTTATGATTATGGAAGTCTTCACTTGGTAATACAGACACCTTATTTTTTCTACCCTGCCACGTAGGACCAGCTGATCCTACATGAGCAGTTGAGAAGGGCAGTGTTGATGTGGTGATGAGGACACTGAATGCTGGTGGCATTGGTGGCTGCAGTGATAGAGAGGCCATGAAGACTCAGAGTACATATTGCTTTGTAATTTTGAATACTGGAACAAATTGAAGCTAAGAGGAATAACTTTTGTAGTTTCCTATAAGTTTTAGTTCACTTTTTATCCCTATTGTGGGAGATAATAGCGGTAATGGTACTCTATTCAGTGAACTGTTGCCCTAGTACACAGGGAGTGCTCAATACCTTCCATTACTGTAGTTTTCACTGTTACTGGCAGAATGCTTGTCTCATTTGCAAAATGCTCTGTGAAAACTCGCCTAGAGGTATAGGTCAGCATTGGAGGTTCTGATTTTAGGTATATGAGTATCTGAGAACAATAAAATGTTCTTTTCAAATAGCAAAGAATTTGCAGCTAAAGAAGAGGGTTTTAGGTCTACTTATGTTTGAGAAGCAGACATGACTCTTTCAAAGAGCTGTCAACAAAGCCTGGTCTCCCAGACAGTATGAAACTAGAGCATAGCCATCCTGTGAGTCCAGACACAATCTCTCCATCATATTACAATGGCCTTTGTTGTTAAGTGCCTCTTCCACAATCTGTCGACTTTCAGAAACTTTCATAATTTCTGTGTGCATGCATATTGGCCTACTATAAAGGTTCTTAAAGAAGAAATCCACAAAGTATATATTTATCACTTTTATCATCACTTACCATTTTTCACTTTTAGTTGCATTTGTTTAATTGGTTAGAAACAGAGTAAGAAAGATAAAAATTTAACTTTTAAATGCCACAGCAATCCATTATTTCCTTTAAAGGCAATGCTATTTCCACTACCACTGAATTAAAAATGATCTGCCAATCTGCACCTTAAAAAGGGTTGTATATGCCTAAAGTATGTGGTACTTGCACTTAAAGGAGATTGTTCAGTGCCCTTAAGGACACATGATAAAATGCAACATTTTTTTTTCTACATTTTGAATATAATCTTTCTCCCAGCATGACACATTACAGCCAACCTATTTAAATTCTTCTTTCTTAAGGTGAAAGAAAATGTAAGATATGTGCTCTATTTGCATTAAATTGTGCTTAAAAATATTTCTCCAAAACCTCCAGAAATTTGAGAGCCATTGTCTGTCACACACATAACATTGAGCACAAATAGTAAGTTCCGTGAGAATTGTTAGTTAAAAGTTAGCCAGCTTTATCAAAGAATTTTACATCAGCTAAGAATTGACTACAAGACACTAAAAACATTTAAGAATTCCCCATGAGGTAATATTTATCTCTTAATGACTCCAGGGGAAGTGATTTAACACGTTTCACTTACTTAACTAATTCTTACACTAATATTGAAGATAAACTGAGTTAGTACAATTAAATGATATCTCTAGATCATTTTATCATCCATCCTTGAAAACCATGGTGGCTCAATTTTTAAATAAAAGGAGTTAATGTTGGTGTATTTAGTCTTTATGGGTGAAGCGTTTCAGCCATAAAACAGGAACCACACAGGTATAAAATATTCACCATACTCCCCTCTCCAAACCGCAAAAGGGTATATGTTAAAGGCATTAATATTTTTAAAGGATTTTTAGACATTTTTCTGGGCACACACTTCCAGGAAATATCCAACTTTGACTTCTTATCCTTTAGAATCTGCAGTTATCAGTATTTACGTATTTTTCTGTTTTTCCTGGGCAGCTACTAAACCTGAACTTCCTTCAGTAACAAGTAAAAGAATGATATTTCTTTTGCTGCTAATATATACCTAATAAAAGACTTGTCCGTTGACTGCACATTTAGATATTCAGGATGATGTATATTTTTGTCAACATATTTTTTATTGCAGGGCTAGGTTAAACTGATGCCTGTGAATTCAGAAAAGAAAATTGGGAATGTGTGACATTTCCCAGGTGGCATAGGACATGTCTGTGACGCTGACACCTCATGGCCTCTCCTGCTGATTCTTCTGTGGTGTTTTATTAAACTTTGGTCTCGTCTAAGTTCATTTTGTCCCCTTGAGTTTTTTGTTTTTTAAAATATCTCACCTGCTTTTTTTTCCCTAGGGAGGAAGCAACTTACGGATACTTGGGGTAGTGAAGTCAGATGAAGGCTTTTATCAATGTGTGGCTGAAAATGAGGCTGGAAATGCTCAGACTAGTGCACAGCTCATCGTCCCTAAGCCTGGTAAGAAAATAAGAACTTTGCTTTGGTACCTGCATTTAAAATTATCCATAGTCTGTTTGTAAAATCCATGCTGTTTTCCCTACTCCTCCAAGCAAATATGGCAATATGAAATTGTTTATTTAATTAAGGTGTATACTTGTGTATTGATGATATATTCCTGCTAGAAAATTATATGTATATGTGTATCTCCAATGAGATAGTCATCATGAATAATAGGGCCTCTGGTTTTCAAGGCAATAACTACTAAATTATTACCTTCTTCCTTTTTTATAGCCTGCCTTTCTTCCCAGCATTCTATTTAAATATGAAATATATATCTTGCATATATGTTATGTGTATATTTTAGTTATATATGTGCATATATACATAGGCACATACCTAAAAATACATATACATAAGGACTATACATATATTCTTAAATATAGTCTTGAATCAGTGGAAGTTGGTAGAGAAATAGATATAACCACTTGAAAGTAAAGCCAGCTTTCTCTTCTTTTAAGTAGTGCATTAGTTTGTTCTCATTCTGCTATAGAGAAATATCTGAAACTGAGTGATTTATAAAGAAAAGAGGTTTAATTGGCTCATGGTTCTGCAGGCTGTATAGGAAGTATGAAGCTGGTCATCTGCTGGGCTTCTGGGGAGGCCTCAGGAAACTTGCAGTCATGGCAGAAGGCATAGGGGAAGCAGGTGCATTTATGTGGCTGGTGCAAGAGAAAGGCAGGGAAGGGCTACATAATCTTAAATAACCAGATCTCATGAGAATTCAGTCACTATCAGGAGAACAGCACCAACAGGGAAATCTGCCCCCGTGATCTAATCACCTCCCATCAGCCCCACCTCCAACATTGGGGATTATAATTCAATATGAGATTTCGGTGGGGACACGGATCCAGACCGTATCAAATAGATCTTGAAGAATTGCTCCTTTTTATTGTAATTGCAGAAAATGTCATTTTATTTTTTAGTCTTTTGGAAGTTTAATGTAGTGGTGAATTATAGAATTCTAGAATAAGGCTGGGCACAGTGGCTCATGCCTGCCATTCCAGCTCTTTGGGACATTGAGGGGTGAGGATTGCTTGAAACCAGGAATTTGAGACCAACCTGGACAACTTGGGAAGACTTTGTCTCTACTAAAAATACAAAAATATTTAAAAACTAGCTGGGCATGGTGGCACATGCCTGTAGTCCAGCTACTTGGAAGGCTGAAGCAGGACAATCATTTGAGCCCAGGATGTTGAAGCTGCAATGAGCTATGATCACACTACTGCACTACAACCTGGGCAACAGAGCAAGACTCTGTCTCAAAAACAACAGCAAAACCAAAACTAGAATCAATTTATGTTAGACCTGTCATGTAATTTCTCTATAACAGCACAGTTTCTTGGGAGGAGAGACAAAGATAAAAACAAAAGAACCCGTTCTGCTGCTCCAAAATGATTAATACTAAAGAAGGTTAAAACAGGGACAAGACAGTTGTTTGTACAGAACCAAATACTTCAAAATATTAATATCTTCCATAAGTAATTTATCAGGTTATGTACATTTCTACTCTTTTGGACCAATTTTCTTCCTTTTGACATGGCTCACTTTTGTGTTAATCTTTCCCTGAAGTAAGTTTAATATAAAGTAGCAAAAATATATAAGACATAGTTTTTGGCTTTCATTTAAAATGTGCCGATTAAGTCTTTATATTTTACATATTCCTAGCCAATTACCTGAGGATTCATAGTAATAGTCACAAAGATGACATTCTCCGTTTTCCTTGATTGAAATTAAAAAAAAAAAAAAAAACTACAGAACAACAATCCCAGATGAGTAAAGCCAAAGGAACTATATAGGAATTAAAAGGGGCAATTGACTTTTTCTGGAGATCACATTTTTCTGTTGGGCTTCTTTTCCCTCCAACTGATGTGCTCTAAGTGTCAGTGTAATTTTATTTGTGTGACTAAGTCTATTGTTTTCTACTGAACTGGTAATGGATGAGTAGGAAAAAAGGAACCTTTAAAATCAGTCTCTTATGTGAGCCATACTTTAAAAACTGCACCATATCATTAGTAACAAAAGTATGGCTGCTACACAAGTCGCAGAACAAGAGAATTCTAGTTAAGTTTGATTTTTTTCCTTTTTTTTTTTTTTTTTGGCTAAGGCCATAAAGCTGAGGGCAATGCAAGATAAGTGACTTCATATTTCTAACGGAGTTGTAAGATATATTCTCCTAGCACTTGGCACTGACCGAAGAAGCCCAGTGACAATCTCCTGCAACTGCTCACAGGGATGGAGGATTCTTTGAAGTGCTAGAATTCATAGGATGAGAGGTTGTCATGATATTTTCTCTCTTATACAAGCCAAGTTGTAAAGACACCAGGAAAACCTTTTAGACTCTGTGTGTGTGTGTGTGTGTGTGTGTGTGTGTGTGTGTGTGTGTGTGTTTGTGGTATGTGTGTTTATGGTGTGTGTGTTGCTGAGGACTGATTACGGGAAATGGGCAACTTTATATTCTGGCTGTTTCATGGTCTATACAAACCTGCCCCCAATGTCTGAGGAAGCTGAGAGACCAAAGAGGCTGACAAATCTGGTTTCTTAGAAATACTTAACAGGGACATATGAACAGGAGCCATATCTGTATCTCTGGCAGTGCTGAGACAACATCGTGGATCCCCGTGCCACTACACCCCAGACCCAGGGCTTATATACCAGGGGAGAGAGAGAGGTGGTTTAGAAGGGAAGTGTGGGTTGATGGAAGTACAGTAACACCAAAGTTTTCTCACCTAATGGCAGGATTTATGGTGAGTACCTGCTGTTACACAGGAACAATAGATAAACAGGAAATCTTAGAGGACTTCCCAGAAGAGGGGTTAATCAGAAGCCAATAAACATGGTATATTCGCTTCCAACATGGAGTTGCTTTAGCCTCCACACTGTCTAAAAATCACCTGGAGCTGTCTACAATGCAAGGAAGAGAAAAAAGAGGACAACAGTGGGAAGAAGCCCCATTTCCACTCTTGAGAAGAACAAGGATGTGAGTTCCATTTGCAGAAGGCAAGGCTGAAGTTTTCTCGAAAGGACCTTGCTCCAGAGGTCCTGTCTGCTGATGCCATCCCAACCAAGTCACTAGAGGGACAGGCGCCCGGATGGAGCTGAGCTAGGAGGGGGGGTGCAGGTCAGCCAGAGAGTGCTTGGTCAACTCCAGGAGGGGTCCAGTGACTGCATTTCTAAGGTGGAAGTTTTCTGAAGAACTCACAGAGCTGCTTCACAAAAAAAGAAACATGTAGCTATCTTCCATGAGTGTGGACTTTTGAAAGGACAAGCTGAGAAAAACAGTCTTTGTCTCTTTATTCCAAATCCCTCCTTCCCTCTCTGACACTGGAGAGGCCCTAAGCAGAAGGGAGAAGTGAACTGAGAGATGGAAAGACAGATGATGGGAGTCCTACTGTCCCCCTTCCCAATTTACAGTCTACGCCTGTTTTGAGAGATCGAGAGAAATTTTTTTAATTAATTAATTAATTTTATTATTATTATTTTTCATTTTACTTTAGGTGTGTACTATATCCAGCATTTCTCCCCATGTTATCCCTCCCTGGAGAGAAATTTTAAACTATTAGTTTAATGTTTTGATTTAGTTCTCACTGAGGTGTTGCGTGTTGTGGAAGTGGGGAGGTTGTTATTCCCTGGGGTTTTGATTGTTTCATTTTTGAATACCTGAAGATAAGGCTTTTTAAATACTTACCTCGCCCCAGGGCCAGAGCATTGACCCAAGTTGCAATCAGGGTTCGGAAGGCAGAGCTGACAGAGTGTGTTAGAGGATGGATGACAGCAGAAAAATAAAAAGCTACTTCCTTTTAATTTCCAATAGTTCAGCTTATTCAGTCAACCTATTATAGATGTTCAGTTTTACTTATACCAGGAACTCTACAGGTAGCCTTTAATTCATGGTATCTTGCATTTCACTTGGGCCCTGATTTGTTTAGGTCTGTGTGATCATGAAACATCAAGGCTCTGCTCAGCAGAAATGTCATTTAGCTCCTTACTAGAGCCTAGGAAAATCTTGATAATTCATTCATTTTCCATCTAGATGGTTGAGTGTTGTCCCTGCCTTCTACACTCTTGGTTGTTGTTTATTGTGTTTGGCATTGGATTAAAAAGAAAGGAAAAGAAAATGAAGATAAAAATTTGAAAGCGTGACAGGACACCATTGTGACTGTCTTGCATTTCCCCCTTACACTTGATAGATTGCTTTTTCCTGGATGTTTAATCAGGTCTTCAAATAATGCCACTCCAATTCCTCAGAGATGCAGCAAAAGCCGCGTGCACAGATGGTAGAGAGGCCAGCTATAAATATAAATTAAGCAATGAGGTGACCATGTGGGAAGAACATAGCCCTCTCTGTTTAAGTTTTGACAATAAATGGTCACCATATATTTTGAAGTACATCGTGGGCCTGCATTACCCAGCTGTTCAGCTTTAGCCTGTCCACAGGGTTGTGGCTGAGAGTTACTTGTGGCAAGCATAACAATCTGCTGCTCACTGAAGTACAGACAATGACCTATTTGAGCCAGTGTCTATAGTTGGCAGATATTTACATAAGCCTAATGAAGTTTCAAGTTAGTCTTTTATTTTATTTTATTTTTTTTGAGACGGAGTTTCGCTCTTGTTACCTAGGCTAGAGTGCAATGGCGCGATCTCGGCTCATCGCAACCTCCGCCTCCTGTGTTCAGGCAATTCTCCTGCCTCAGCCTCCTGAGTAGCTGGGATTACAGGCACGTGCCACCATGCCCAGCTAATTTTTTGTATTTTTAGTAGAGACGGGGTTTCACCATGTTGACCAGGATGCTCTCGATCTCTTGACCTCGTGATCCACCCGCCTCGGCCTCCCAAAGTGCTGGGATTACAGGCTTGAGCCACCGCGCCCGGCCTCAAGTTAGTCTTTTATATGTAGTTACCTATTCACTCTTTAGCCATTAGTGACTTAGGAAATAAATTGAACATAATCTACTAAATTA